GAGCCTTGTACGTTAGAGGCACAGTGGAGGAGGCGTTAAGAAGACTGAGAAACTGAATGATTTCAATGTGTCTTTGTTTTTTGATCCTTTGATTCAGTGTAAATAATTTTTGTAAAAGACTGAAAGAAATAATAATACTGTGAAACAAAGTGTCATTCTGGTTTGTCTGTCTCTTTGCCTGTCTTTCCTTTCATTTTTCTTTTCTTTGCTCATCTTGTTTCTTCTTCTACTTCACATGCTCATGCTCTTAGTCAATAGTTCTGTGACAATATATATATATATATTTTTTTTCCGTTCACTCTGGACTGTGCAGTCTTGGTGTGGGCTCATTTTTGGTGGGAAACGAGGTCTGTTCGAATCGAAACTGCCCCCGCCCACCATTCAGCCCGCTGGTATGCTATCGAAACTCCCCCCGCGCGCCATTCATGCCGCTGTAATGCGGCGAGCTCTTGACGTCATCATTGCAGCGCTTCCCCCATCGCCGTCGTCGTGGCTGCTCCTGCCCTGTGCACGTGGTCGCCGTCATCGAGCCAACATCGCCATCAGGGGGAGAGAGAGAGAGAGAGAGAGAGAGAGAGGTCGTGGAGGAGGGAGGAGTTGTGGATGACGCAGGAGACGCAGAGGAGGGAGGACGACGACGGCTTAGGGAAGGGAGGACCTCGGAGACGAAGTGGACGTCAAGGAGGAACAGAGGGGTGCAGGGTGTTGGTCGTGCTGTGAAAGGATTGACACAAGTCACACCGATGACAGCATCCTTGGCAGGGATGTATACACAGTGTCACCCACCCTGGCAGTTTGTTTTTTTTTTTCTCCGGACGTCCGGACCGTTCCGGACGTGCGTCCGGTTTCGGGTCCGGTCCGGTCCGGGTCCGGGTCCGGCGTAACCATGATTCAAACACAGCCCTATTTTTAAGCAGTTCATTGATGTACCAAGTACTACCAACTGAGCTTGTGTGTTTGTTTTGTTCCCTATATTTTTTTACTAACACTTCTTAGCAATATTATCTTTTTTAAAGGTTTTATCTAGTTGTTTTTCTGGGTGCCCGGGCACCCAACTTGTGCCCGGATACACGGCTGGGTGCCCGGCCAGGCATGACCCCCGGGCAGGGTTCTGGGCAGCCCCAGCGCCAAAAAAAAAAAAAGAAAAAAAACGAACATTAAAAAATTCCAGGAAAAAAATATGTTGTGTAGAATTGCAATACAAACAACTTTTGGCTGAGGGTCACATCAGAATTCCTCGCCGAATCGGAGATAAAAAAGAAAACAACAAAATCACAGTAAAGCACCCCCCTTTAACCCCTCTTATCCCCTTTAAAAACAATTTATACCCCCCTTTTCTTCCCTTGACAGCCAACTCTCAAAAATGAAATGAGCCCTGATTTAGGGTCCTCTGGGAAAGTGCAGAAAGGCAAAAAAAAAATTATTGCACGCCCAGGTATCCCGGGCATCAGACCCCCCAGGCGTCACGCCCACGTGCCCGGCCGTGCAGGCCTGGCCGAGCATGAAAAACTTCCTAGGTTCTTATTAGATTTCGTCTCTTGTTTCTTTTGCTTCAAGTCAAGAGCTTTCCTTTCAATGATCCATGATTTCCTTTGCCGTAGGCATTGCTACTGTTATTACTGTTTATTGGTAGTACGATGTCAAGTTTTCTATAGAACCTTTAGACGATAATATTCCTCTTGTTTCCGATTCGGTGCTAGCTTTCCAGCCCGGGCGCACGGGGTACCCCACCATGCCCAGAATGGCGCCTGGGGCGCCCGACCGGGCGACCCCCCTGATCAGGCACCCGGGCGCCTCTTGCACCAAGGCAGAAAAAGCCTCAATTTTTTGTCCGTGCTGCAGCCCTATTTCAAATTTGCCAAATTTGTCTTTGGCGGTCGGCACATTTTTTTGGGGGGTCCGGTAGGCCCCGTTTTGTAGTTTTTCTTTATTTCTTTGGGGATTCTGGCAGTCGATCTGCATAGATCGATGGTGCGTGCTGATTCAGGATTCAAATTCGCCCCGTCCTGCACCCCCTTCCCCCCCCCAACCCACAGAAATCAACATGCATGAAAATAAAAAAAGAGGCCGGATTTGGGCACTACTCCCAAAGCGCAGCAAGGTCTGGCGTTAAAAAACCTACCTGGGCAGGGTGCCCGGGGCGCCCAGCCAGGTGTGCCCTGCTGGGCGCCCCGGGAAAGCTAGATAGATTCGGTGGCTGTGTCATATATTCTTCTTCTTCTGGTTGCTTAAAATTTATTCCCTCATTTGCAGTTGTGACAAATTTGGAAGTCGAAAGCGTTACCTGCATGTCCAGCTTGATCAGAAGGGGAGAGCCTACGTACTGTAAGCGGCTCCTAAGCTTGCACGTCTCTCTCGTGGCGGGTGCTCTTTGTTTGTCTGTCTCTCTCGCAGAACATAATTTTGAAGGTGTATATGTGACAAGCGGGGGTGGTGTAGTCTTCTGTGCTGTGGGATTGAGTGGACACTGGCGATGGCTTCCGTAGCGTCGGTGGTTGGTACTTGCCTTCCCGTGCGGACGGGAAGCGGGGTATGTGCAAATTGTGGACGGGGCGACTTGCAGCAGCGTCGAGCACAGCCGGGCAGTGTTGCACAGCCAGCAGTTGCTGGGCCTTCTCTCCGAGGCCGTTGTTTTCCGGAGACGGGAACAGCGCAATTGCGGTTGGTTCTCGGCAGACGCTGTGGTGGATGTACGGTGGAGAGGAGGAGGGGGTCACTTGTTGTTCGTAATGGATTGTTCGGCGGCGGAAAGAAGGAAGACGAAGGCGGTCAGGAGGGGGGGGGAAGCAAGAAGGGCGGCATGTTTGGGAACATGTCAGGCTTGATGGATACTGTGAGGAAGGCTCAGCAGATTGTACAGGTGGAGGCTGTCAAGGTTCAGCAGGAGCTTGCCGCCGCCGAGTTTGACGGCTACTGTGAAGGGGAGTTGGTAAAGGCGGTGTTGACGGGGAACCAGGAGCCCTGTCGGGTGGAGATCACGGACGAGGCCATGGACCTAGAGCCAGAGGAGCTCTCCCGGCTGGTGACAGAAGCGTACAAAGATGCCCATCAGAAGAGTGTGCAGGCAATGAAGGACAGGATGAAGGATCTGGCCCTCAGTCTTGGCATGCCCCCAGGTCTCACTGGTGGAGGAAACCCCCCCATCTAACTGGTGATGACAAGGCGCCAAGACTCGCCGCTAATGGTTCGTTGGAGCCTTGTTTTGTTTTTGTTTTCACAGTGTCATAGGAGCCGTGCCGTGGTAGTCTATTATTATTCTTAGCAGCTGTAGTGTGTCTTCTGGCCAGTCGTAACGGGAATAGCGTTTTTTTTTTTTGTTTTTGTTTTTTTTTGTGTGGAAGAAACACCCCTTCAATAGCTTTGAGAATGTGGGAATTCAAGAGTGGAGCGTTACGTATATATTGTCGATCTGCCACACTCTCTCTCTCTCTCTCTCTCTCTCTCTCTCTCTCTCTCTCCTCTCCTCTCTCTCCCTCTCTCCTGTCTCTCTCTCTCTCTCTCTCTCTCTCTCTCTCTCTCTCTCTCTCTCTCTCTCTCTCTCTCTCTCTCTCTCTCTCTCTGTGGATTTCTTTTAGGTTCAATTATTAGCCAATCAATCAGCCAGTCAATCAATCAATCAAGCAGTAGATCGATCAATCAATTAATTAATCAATTAATCAATCAATTAATCAATCAATTAATCAATCAATTAATCAATCAATTAATCAATCAATCAATTGGTGAACAGTTGATCAGTCAATCAATCAATTAGTCAAATTGATTAATTGATCGATGCATCCATCAGCGAACTGGAACCGCAAATAAGGACATGGTGCTTAGCGAATGTGCTCAGGTCACAACCTCCCAATTTTGCAGCAAGGGGCACCATTTGAATGCCGCCGTTTCTCTGTCAGGCTGGCTTTTCTTCTTATGTCTGTGGTGATTGAAGCATGTGCCCCATCTTGTGGAGCTCTGAAGCGAAATGTATCATTCTTGCGATTCCAAGTGGGTTCTCTTTGGTCACTTTTTTTCTTGCGATTCCATCTGCCTGCCTGTTCACTCCATGCCTTGATCTGTGCTGTTCAGAAATGTGTGATCGCGGAGTACGGAGCGCGAAGAACTCGGCAAACATGTGTTCTGAAACTTTTGAAGATCGCAACGATGTTTTTTTTTTTTTTTTTTAAGATCAGCGGCCGCTACGAGAGGGGGTGATAAGAGCAGCCTCCTCTAGTAGATGTTCCTGGGCACTCCATCTAGTGGTGGGGAGCTGCACCTCCTTCAATAACCACCAATTGAAGCATATATGCCTCCAATTTTGCAGCGGCCTCTTCTTATGTCGGTGGTGATTGAAGCATATGCCCTCAATTTTGCAGCTCAGGTTACGACCTCCCAATTTTGCAGCAAGGCCATGCAGAACCAATACAAGAACACTACATTAGAAAAAAATTTTTCGGCAAAAAAAAAAAAAAAAAAAAAAAAAAAAGGGGACGTCTTGGATCGATCGCTCCCATCACATTTCAGGTCCACCAGAGAGAGGGCAGTCGGGGGTGATAACTCGTGGAAATTAGACAGGGTTCGTAGTGGGACCGAAGGGTCAATTGTTGTCCATGAATGGAAGTTGCGGTGGTAATCCCTCCTGACAATTCTGCCCTTGTCAGCAGCCCCCAGTTCTCGCTTCCATTCCATCTTCCTAACCCCCATCCCTCTTGCTCCCTGCCCAGCCAGTTTTTGTTGAAATGTTGAATAATTGTTTTGATTTCTGTTTAATTGTTTGGATTTCTGCTTTTGAGGGTAGGAAAGTCAGACTGCCTTTCACGGTGTCCCACTGGGATGCGATAACTTCTTGTACTTGTTGTTTAATTGTGTCCATGCACTACGGAGCTTTCCGGTCGCACGTCTGCCGTTTCAAATGTGCAGCGCCTCCACCAAATGGCCAAAAAAGAACTCTCTTCGTCCTGCTTTGAACAGGTTGTCAGTGAAAGAGCCGGCCTGTTGCGGGTGCCAGCTTTCACATAAAAGCGCCTTCCAGTCCAGGGGCAGGAAGTGGAGGGCCCGTCTTGACCCAAGATTCGGTCCCATCACGGCCAGAGCTAAATGGCACGTGGACATCGGAGGAAAATGTGTTCTATTGTCTTCGGGGCCTTTCGGGCTCGGAAGGCCGCACTGCAAAGCTTACCCCAGGGGAGAGCCAATGCTTTCTGCTCCAGGTATGTCCTGTCGATCAACCACTTATTTGTAGGCAGGCATCAGCGATCGACCTGCCTCTGCAGCGACGCCATCTTGGCTGGCTTCGCCTTAAGGGTTTCAAACAGGGCTGTATTTCCAGTCCGACCGCGGGGCCCACCCCCAACCGGAACTGGGCCGGTCGATCGGCCCAGTTCCTCCCTAGTCGGCCTCAGCTGGGGGGGGTTACCGGCGTTTTTTCAATGCCAGGGGCCCTTTTGAAGGTCATTGACGTCGCACGACCGTTAAAAAACTGAAACTGGGTTGGGTAGGCCCACCCAAAATGCTTCAAAAGGGCGGCCTATATGAACCGTCGATCGCGAGAGATCGGCTGCCCAGATAGGCCCCCTGCCGTGCCCTCCCACTGCCCCCAACCTACTGCCCACTCCCTCCCTTGCTTTTGGCCATTCCACCCACAAACTGCTGGTGCGCCCTCCTCGTCTCGTACAGCCCGTTGTCTCCTCCAGCCTGTTGTCGTTGTTGGGCCTCTATCGCCTCTAGCCAGTGCTCCAGTTGTCATCAACCCCAGCCCAGGTACCACTTCGTGGGCATGGTCTTTGATGGGCGCGCGGTAGTTGGTGGGCACAAGTGGTAGTCGGTGGCCGCGCTGTAGTCGGTGGGTGTAGGCAGTAGTTGGTGCGTGTGTGTGTGTGTGTGTGTGTGCTGTCTCTTATACACATCTAGATGTGCTGTAGTCGGTGGGTGTAGGCAGTAGTTGGTGCGTGTGTGTGTGTGTGTGTGTGTGTGTGTGTGTGCTGTCTCTTATACACATCTAGATGTGTATAAGAGACAGAGTTGGCGCATGTGGTAGTTGGTCGGCGCACGCGGCTGTTGGTAACAGAGAGAGAGAACAGTTCGTGGAACTGTCCCTCCTGCCCTCACCCCTCCAGCTTCTTCTTCTTCTTCTTTCTCCTCGCCCTTCCACTCCTCCCACTCCATCTCGTCATCCAAACAAGCCATGTTTTTTCCCCCCACATAAGTTCTTTTTCCTCCTCCTCTCCACCCCCACTACGTCCTTCTCCTCCCGGGGTTATGGTGGAGAAAACCAGGTATGTTATTGTCCATGGTTGCTGAAGCCCATGCTTGCTAAAACCCTACCACTAACACCCCCACCATAAGCCCCCACCGCCCCATGGAATGAAACTTCTCTGTTCACAGTTTTCTTTGCGGTTTCAGGGAGATCTCGGCGAGCGCAGCCGGACAGTGTTTAAACCACCACTTCCCCTGTCGGAGAAGTCGGGGGACTGGTAGCTCAAGTTCATGAGGGCTACTGGTAGCATGATGTGGAGAACCGGTAGAGTGGCAATACTGGAATTTGCGCCGAATCGACACGAATCATCATTTCACTACCTAAACGTTTGTTTTTTTTTGTTTTTTGACACTTCTCCTCGAAAGATCATGGCCAAATCTACCGGATCACAAATTTTCTGATTTTTCTGACTAGCAATTTGAGCGTGAAAAATCGCTGAAGTTGGAGTACTTTCCGTTGCCCATAGGTGGCAGAGTCGCAAAAATGGAAAATGCACCGAATCGGCGTGGCGAGTATTTCACTGTTCAATAATTTTTTTCTTTTTTTTCCTAATATTTTTCCTGGAAAGATCACAACCAAATCTATCGGATCTCGAAATTTCAGATTTTTTGGTGTATTCTTCCTAGTGCGAAAAATCGTTGAAGTCCGCGCTTTGTTTTTCTTTTTTTATTTTCCGCCGACCTCCGCTTGAATTGCCGCCGGCCTCCGCTTCTTCCGGGCTACGGGCATCCGAAGGTCCTGGAAAGCCACTTTTTTTTAAGGGCGATGGCCATGAGGTATTATCATCGGACTAACCAGCCCAGGTGAATTCAATATTGTCACATTTTATTGTGTCTAATCTGCCATTGGGTGGCCTTTTCAGCCCATGGTGGCCGTGATTGCCTTCAGGGAACCCCGAACGGGGGACACTGGCCAGGGGACAGCCGGTGGCAGAGGGACCGAGCATCATCTGAGTGGCCAGTCGCTGTGCCTCCCCGATTACCCCTCCCCCTATGAACATCAGCAGAGACTGCTTTTTAATGCCAATTGGGGGGACCAATGTGCTGTCTCTAGGTGGCGGGCTCCAAGCATGCCCAGCAAGGTACATGCGGCCAACGGGGATTGAACCCAAGACCTCCTGAATGCCACTTGCGTGCCTTACCAACTGAGCTAGGCCGCTGGATAAAAGCCACTTTTTTTTTATGTCAGGTGGATTGGCGATTTATCTAAAGCTGAGTTCAAATTGACAGCAAGTAACATTAACTCAATTGACATTAACATAATTACTTATTAATAAGGATAATATTTCTAAACAATAAAATAAAAAAATTGACCCAGTTTTGGGCCCAACCGGTTCCAGGCACAGCCCTGGTTTTAAACCATTTGATCGGACGGAGTGCGTCTCGGTGCACATTAAGGTGTTTCATCCGTCTGGATTCCACCTGTACCTTGAGATTGATTTGGGGCACAGTGTGCGACAGGTTGCCTTCACGGACAGGGAATGCAGGGTCTGAGTATGGGATCTACCCGTATTAAGTTTAATGGTCGGGGACCAGTTGGCCAGGTCGAAACTATGCTGGGTGATTGGCCTGTCCAGTCTGAAGGCCAGCCAGTGCTCCTTGTCCTTTGGCACCCATATTCCGTGAGCGGCCGCTTTTGGATGCCACCGTACCACCTCCGTGGATGTTCTGATGAGCCTATTATTGCTACCGATATGTCCGCGTGAATATTCACAATGTTGCCCGCAAGGGTCCTTCCGTGGTGGCAGAGAGTGACTGCTGGTGCCTAATGTTGATGTGTCCCTGGATGGAAACCCAGTCACTCTCTGCCAGGGAAGGACCCTTTCGAAGAATCTGCACTAAATCCGGAGGGATGAAGTTGACCAGGGGTGTCGAAGGCTACTGTCGGTTTGCGGCAATACCTTAAATGCGTTCGTATGTGTGAATCTTAGACCCAGTCGTTTTTGCCTGGATCCCAAATGTCCCCCCCACCTGAGTAACCCCAAGCCTTGCCTACCCCTGCCAAGAGGACTCTGCTGTGGGAATTTGTGATCCACCGGTTACCAATCAAGGGTTGCTGATAGACCGATTTAAAAAAAAAAAAAAAAAAAAAAAAAAAGAGCTCCTCAGGCTCTCATTAGTGGGGGGAGACCTTGTCTGGCAGGGGTAGCTTGCGCCAAGCCTTTTGAAGGGAAGTGCAGAAGGTGTGATTTTTAAGGTCAACGTGAGCCGCCTGCTGATCTGGATGCTGAGCTTTTGCTGAGCGCGTGGGGAGGGACCAGTATCTCTTTTCAAAACAGGTGATGGGGTCCAAGCGGGGTGGAATGGAAGGGGCCAGTTGGGTGATTTATTCCAGGGCTAATGATCTTCAAGGGACTTGGGGGTTGAAGAGGAGGCCTT